TGCGCCCCCCAAATTTGCTGGGGGGGGGCTCCTACCAGCCCCTGGCGATGCTGCACGCCGCATGCTTGTTCCAAAGCCTTGACACCTTTTTCTTCCTTTTTTTATATACATACATATATAAAATTTTTTTAAAATCATCTTTAAGAAAAGCAGAAAATTATTTTTTGCTTTATTTTTTGGACACCTGAGCTCCCGCCAGTGAAAAACCTGATGTGAGGCAGGGCTGCGCTGGGAAGGGCTGGGGGTGTCCGATGCTAAACCCCAGGTTCGGGGGGATGAAGACCCCAGTGCCAGCCCCGGATGGCTTGTCTGACATTTCCTGAGTGCTTTTGCTGGGAGCTGCGGGAGCCGAGCTGTGTTCGGCCAGTGCTGGTGTGGATCCGGCTCTGCCTGACACCATTTGGGGCAGAAAGGGAATAAAAAGCAAGAATTCAAATTTCCCATCCTGCCTGGCCGGGTCTGTGTCACGGGGGCAAAGGCACAAGGTCTGAGGAAAGTACAATTTGACTCTTTTCTTTTTTTTTTTTTTTTTCTCTCTGAGCACTGCTTTGAGCCCCGCTTTTAAAAAATATTTTGAAAATGAAAATGCAGTGAGGTGCTATGTGGGACTTCCCAAAGTGCTGGCTCGCTTCCAGAGAGCCACCAGCAGCGCCCAGCATCGCAGGGCTCTTCCCTGAAAGGATAAACGCGACATGGGACGGGTATTGACGGCTCAGCTGTTCAAACACTGGGGGTCAGACAGCAGAGCAAATTCGGGGGCTTTTTTTTTTATGTTAAAAAAATCCCTATTTTTGAGTAGTGCAACAGCCCCACCACGCCATTAATTGTCACCAGGGCTGTGGATGCAGGGCACCAACCTGCAAACGCGCTTTGGGAAATCATTCTCGCAATAAAACACTCAACCTGGGAACCTCCAAAGAAGTCTCTGATGCCGGTGGGAAAGAAAATGGTTTTTCCTGACATTTTGCTCCTTACACCACACTCCAGCAGGGATGGGAGCCCGAGCGAGCAGCTCTTAAGGAGCAAAACCTCTTCCCTTCCCCGGGATTTGAGCTGGACCTGCACTGGATGTAACCCCGCGGAGTCACGCCCTGCCTGGGGGAGTTTTTCCTGCTTTCTGAATTTTACCCATGCCAGTTGGATACCGGAGAGAAGATCAGGCTGCGGGACGATATCCTGTTTATAGGTACAAAATTACAAACGAACAACGAAAAAAAAACCCCAAACATGTCAACAAGCACCAGTAATACATATAAATGTATCTCAACCTGCTTCGTCTGCCTACCCAACCCCTCCGATATTGGGTCTCGCACTGATCTGGGAGCAAACTTGCTCTCTCCCAGCCACTTGATTCGCTTTTATAAAAGTTGAGTCTCGGCACAGGGTCCTTAAAAATATCCTGGGTTCAAGGCTCGACCCACAGCTGTGGGTTACAGACCATGATTATCAAAAACGCAGCAAAAGAATTAAAGCAAATCCAAATAGCTGCCTGCCCCAGCAAGGGGAGAAAGCCGGTGGGACAATCCGACACCCTGCCAATGAGGCTGGTGTAGGTGGGACAGCCGCGACAGCGACAGGAAACCAGCAGCAATTTGGGTTGGGTAAATACATATTTTAAAGGACAAAAGTCAGAAAACTGACTCCCACCAGGCTCGATGGGATTCGAAAGCAAATATTGAAGTGTTTGGCTGAATTGGGGGGGGTCATGAGGTGACGCTAAAGGGAAAGCCCTTCCCAGTCCTCCCAGCTGCCTTTACTGGTGAAATTATTAAATTAAAAAAAAATTTAATTGCTCAGCCTAGTTTTCAAAGACAGGGCGAGGGCCACAACATAGGTTTTCACAGAGCTAAGCAGACTTATGAAGCCTAAAACGAGAAGGAACACCAGGTTTTGCCTTAAACATTCTTATAATTTTCTTGATTAAAACGTTTTGGGTGGGTTTTTTTCCCAAAAATGCCTCCAAAAACGACGCGTTGGAACCAACCGGAGGTACGCACAGGCTCAAGCTACCAGTGTGACACAACCTGAGCAAAAACCATATCCGTGCAGGGAGAGAAACCTCCGCCTCCTGCCCCGAGAATCGCTTCTGCCTTGCTTGCAGCAACCCGAGAGCATTTCTTTTTTAAAGCTATAATTGTCACCTGTCCCCTCCCTTAAAGGATACAAGGGATTTGCACTTTCTAGGTAGTCAAAAGGACACGGGAAGCTGCCTCAACGCCTCACCCCAGCCACGCTGCGACAGTTTGGGAGATTTTAGGGCTGATCTGGGAAATGCAGGAAGCTCTTTGGTCCCCAGATCACCTACAACCTTCCCCAAAACCCTGAGGAACCAGCTTCCTTCCCTCCCAACCCCAGTTTTTACTGTACAAAGGAAGATATTCTTCAGGTTTAAAAAAAAAAAAAAGTTGGAAAAAGTTTTTTTTTAAAAAAAAAAAAAAGCAAACCCAGCAGATGTACAATATACAGAAGGAGGAATTTACACGCAGCTCTGGAGGTGTCTTCGGGGGGGGGGGGGTCACAGGAGGTACCTCCAAGGTCCCTGGTTGCAGCAGTGAGGGACTCCGGTGCTCCGCGGGCAGGAGCAGGGGAGGGACGCGGCACCGCGGTGCTGCGCTCAGTCCAGGAAACGCTGGCAGGCTTTTTTCCACCGGCAAGCCGTGCACCACTGGTCCCGGTGCTCGATGCCATACACCTTACGGCACTTTTTGGCTTCACCACGGACTTTCCTGCAAAAGGAGGAGGAGAAGAAACAACATTTGTCCACTTGTTGCAGAATTTTGGTCACACATTAAGGGTCAAGCCCCGTAATCACGGCTGAGCATCATTGTGATGCATCCCAGGGGAGATGCAGGAGGGTCTCCCTGCCGCTGACGGGCTCCTCCTCTGCTCCCCTCCAGCCGGCGGGACCCTCACCTGGTGCCAATGGACACCCTGGGCGGCGAGGCGACGATCAGGTGGGACTTGAGCATCGGCGTTGGTGGCTGGGGTTCGCTGAAGCTGAGCGACCGGCTCCGCACCTGCGGGGAACTGAATGTCAAAAGGCACGTGGGACAGCAAGGTCCCCCTCCCGTGTGGACCCTGGGCACTGTGATGGAGCAGCGGGAGACACGGGTGCCCCCAGATCACAAATCCTGATGTTTAAAGCGGGGAGAAAGCAGAGATGAAGTCCCCTTAGCTCCCAGTCCAACCCAGCACACTGAAAGGACAAAGGGAAATGCGTGCAGGACTCACCGGTGACAGGGACGGGAGAGTCGAGGTGGCAGTGGCCCAGCTGATGCTGGTGAAGATGTGTGGGGACACTGGAATTTGGATCGAGGGCAACGCCTGTGGGGGGAAAAGAGGGTTCAACACTAGGGCCCTTGTCCCCACGCACCATCCCACAGGCACTCGCCTCCCCGTGAAGACCAGACTGGAGCACCCGCAAACTGGGAGCACTGGGAATGGGATGGAAATCCCCGTGCAACCTCTCCTCCAGCGCTGGATCCTGCTGATGCAGTGCACGGGACAGCCACTGTGTCACCCTTCAGGGGGACACAGCAGCTTCTTCCCTCCCACGGCCACTTTTGCTTGCAACATCAAATCGCATGCGTGAGCCCGGTCTAGATAGATTTTTTTTTTTTGCCCCTATTTACGCAGGCTGGCAAGAAGTGTGCTTTCTGCTTTGAGATGACTTTACATCCACTCCCTGGTGTGGGAATGGATATATGTGCAGCTTATGGATCTATAGAGTCCAGCCCTGTGCTAGCTTCCAGCTCCTGAACAGCGCTCGGCTCTCAAGCGGGGACAAGGACAAGCCAGGGTGCCCCCAGGGCCACCACCCTGGGTTCCCAATTTTCCTGTGCCTCAAAAGCCCAGGTGAGCGTGCGGCAGGAGACGTGCAGGATCCGGCGCGGCTGCATTCCAGCCCCGCATTATCTGCCGGCAGAAGGGCGTGTTGCATACCAGCACGGGGTAATTGCAGGGGAGCGGGGCCGGCAGCTCCCCCCAAATCCCAGGACAGCAGTACACGAGCCCCTTAACCAGGCGTTAACGAAGCCGGTTGCTCGGGGGCTGAAGGGCAGCCAGGCAGCGGATGGTGCTACACCAGCACTGAAGCCTCTCCGTGCTGCAGGGGTGATGACAGAATGTCCCTGCCACAGTGGGGACTTGCAGAGCAAAGCCCAGATTTGGGGAGGGGACCCGTCCCCAGCTCACCTGGTAGGCGTGATCAGCCTGGATGTGCCAGATGGAGCTGGGGGCAGACTGGCTCAGGGCGCTGCTGGCCAGGGCGGGCTCCAGCACCGGCTGCTCCACCAGCAGCGCCTCCGGTTTCGCCAGCGTTTGCTGGATGACGATAGGCGCGGATGCGGACGTGGGGCTGGTAGCGGCAGCCACCTCTGGTGCTGGTTCTTCCTTCACCTGTACTTCGGTGTAGTAGAAATCCTCCTCCCGCTTCCGCTGGTCGGAGTCTGCGCTGTCCCTGCCAGGGAGAAGAGGGGACAGCGGTGAAAAGGCAGCCCTGTTCCTCGCACCAAGAAGGTGAGCAGCCCCTAAATTCCCCTGGGGAGAGTGATCTTGCCCTCCTGGGTAGAGCAGCTCTGCTCCTGGGATCCAAAGCATCACGCTGGCTACAACCAGCACA